TAGAATGTCATTAGTTAAGATAGATTATTACTGCAATTAGAATATGATTTTTTTTGTTTTATTATTCAATTTTATCATTTAGAAATGAATGTGAATGATTTACATGGTTATACTTATTTACTATACATGTGATTTTTAGAATATAGATGAAATGATTTGAAGTATGTTTGCGTGTGCATGATTGACTATGATGGAGTCACTCCTTGATGATAATAGAGGGCGTACACTAATGTACCATTGTACGTAAATGAAAAATGATATTGATATTTGAGTATCTTAATTAATACAAACTTTTAGACGGTGCTCCAATAACGATTGTATAAATACAAAATGATATTGATATACTATTGATATAATAACTTTTTGAATAAAATCAAATATTTATATTGATTTATTAAAAAGTTCAACTGGCATGCAAATTACTTCTTTCTTCCTTATATTACTATAGTTTATGAGTATGAAAATTCACTGCTTGTTTAGTTCACTATTATTTTGAAACCAACTTTTCAGGTTAATTTATCTGACAAACAGACGAGCAATATAAGAGAAAATATTTTTAGAAAAAGCGGGCAACCAGTAATGAGGAGACATTAATTGTACCGCTTTAATTTATTTTAATTAATGATTCTTTCAATTGTTAAATTCTAGATTAATATAGAAAATTTATTTCACAACTTCTAATCGTTTGTACCCGCCTTGGTTAATTCCAAGCCCTGGTTGGGTAGTGATAGTTCTAGCTCACAATGACCTCAATCTTTGTAGGATCCACCTGAATGTCTGATCTAGACACAAAATAACCGAACAAGCATACCTGGGCCGTCACAAAGTGACACTTTTTTGAATGGGCATATAGCTTCTCCGCTCGCAACACACCGAATATCGCCCTTGGTGTTGTAAGTGCTCCTCAGATCGCATGTATACCAGCATATCGTCGATGCATACCACCATAAATTTCCTAATATAGCCTCGGAACACCTGATTCATCAACCTCATAAAAGTTTTGGGTGCGTTTGACAATCTGAAGAGCATAATTGCCCCCTCGTATAAGTTATCCCGTGACTTGAAAACAGTCTTCCTCTTATCCCCTAGCCTCAGTCGGATCTGATAGTACCCACTAGCCTTGTCGATGTATACCATCACAAATTTCCTAATGCAGTCTTGGAACAACTAATTCATCAACCTCATAAAAATTTTGGGCAATCTAAAGAGCATATGTCCCCTCACACAAGTCATCTCGTGTCTTGAAAGCATTCTTCCACTTGTCCCCTAGCCTCATTTTGATCTGATAGTACCAACTGCGTAAGTTGATTTTGGAAAAGTTGGTGGCTCCATGCAACTAATCCAAGAGGTCTTCCAGGCAAGGAATGGGAAGCCAGTACTTAACGGTAATCATGTTGATGGCCCTATAGTCAAAGCACATTCGCTACGAACCGTCCTTCTTGGGTACCATCAGGGGGTGTCATTTGGCAGGGACAACACACGGATTGATACTCTCTAATCAATCCCCTCGTGACTAGATCTTGTACTCATCGTTGCAACTCATCTTACTCTGCAGGTCTCAATCTGTAGACAGTCCAATTTAGCAACACTAATCCAGATAAGAGATCTATGGTGTGCTATATGTCTCTCAGTGTCAGTAATCCTTAGAGAATATTGTCAGTCATCACATCCTGGAAGTCATGTAGTAGCGATTGTAGCGGTGTTGGTATCTCACTCACCTTAATTCCCTCTAAAGGACCAATGTTATTGCCACTGGAGCATCCCGAACTGACTTTATGAAGGTGGCCCTTGAGACTAAAGTCTCATCGATGTGGCTTACACCTCTTACATCCTTAACAGATAATAACACGATTTGTTTCCAATCATTTTTAAAAGAGTAAGTATTCTTAAAGCTCTCGTGTTCAATCTCATGGTTGCACTGCCACGACCACCTCAACAAAATGTGGCATGCGTCCATCGAAACCACAATGCACCAGTTGCTATTGTACCTGATCCCTAATTGAAAATTCAACCAAGCACTGTTGATTTACACGTATCTCATTTCTCTTCTTCAACCAGTTAAGAGAATAGAACAGAGGACTGCATGGCCAATCCCAATTTCGTCACCATCAACGTAGACACCACATTTTCACAACTCTCATTGTCGGTAATCAAACTGCAAACCTTGTGCTTCACCATACACTTGGTGCGAAAGATATTGTGCCTTAGCTATGACAGATCTCTTTTCGGCTCTTACGATAAAACTCTACATATGACTAACATCTCTCCCTCATCACCCTGGAGCTGAAGTTCTTCCTCTAAACTATCTTTGATTCCTCGTCCTACACCTCCTCGATGACGCCCTTATATGTGAATGAAACAACTTGACTGGTGGTACAGCTGGAGCATATGTCCTTAGTTGTGGCATCTGAAACACTTCTGACATGCATTGTACTAAACGAACCACCCATTTCCGCTTCTTTCCACTCAGATCTGTCTTATCACTCCCTGCTCTATCCTGCCAACTCCGTCGAAGGTGCCCTTATCAGCTGTTATGGAAGATTGCCCGACTAAGGGCTATTGAATGAGGATTGTTGCTTGTCTGAATGAGATTGATATTTGCTCTGCTTCTATTATATTTTAAACTTTAAGGTTGAAGTTACGACATCCCACAGCGATCTATATTGTTGTGACTGCACAACATTTCAAATAGCGGGCTTCAAACCACCTAGGTACCAGGCTATGGTGTATTCCTCTAGCTCAACCAACTCACACAACATCTGCAACTGGTCAAACTATGTTATGAACTCTTCCACTGAAAGGTTTCTCTACTGCAAGTGGTAGAGTCTCAAAAACATGCCATTCGGCAATGAAATGGAAGGAATTTCCTCTACATCTTTTCCCAATTTGTAGTCTTATCACTACATTCTCTCTTCCTCTGCCCTGCAAGTTCACCTACCAC